CAATGTGAGCCTGATGCTAAGAAACTTGTATCCTGTGGAGCAGAATGCAATGGTTGTAAGTTGTGACACTGAAAAGGAAGCAGCTAATTATTTAGAGACTGTATCTTTCTAAGACAAGTCATTAATCAAATATACAGCCTAAAGAGGCCCATAAATTCATAATGGGCTTACATAAAATCATATTAGATTGCCATGTTTCCTGAACTGAAAGAAAGTGCACAAGAACTGCAAGAAGGAAGAAATTACTTATTTAAGTGACAAAATTTTGGGGTATCAATAGATTTCTATCCCTTAATAGTGTAGGAGGGTACACTGGCAACCTTAGATCTCTAAAATAGCTGTTCCAGGTTGATGATGAAGTCTTCAGGTGAGTTTGATATATACTTAATAGCAGTAAGTCAACCTAGTGCGCATATAACCCTTGAAATTTGCTGACTATGGTTATTAAAGCTATATTAGTCTGAGATTTGAAGAACAAGAATTAGTCTACTGATCTTGCTCGGGTCCTTGAAGAGTCGATCATTGATGTAAGGCATCTTTTACAAACTTTTTCTATTTTCATCTCATGAATGTGGTTTAAGTGAAGTTATATCTATCATCTATGTATATTGTGCAGGTATCAATCAAGCAAACAAGGATGGCTCAGTGCAAAAGGCTACTGCCAAGGCAAGGTCTATGGAGGTTCAATGTATGCAGCCATATCCATACAAACAGAATTTTTGTAACTTGGATCCTGGTCATTCACGTCGGGGAAAAGGTAGAGGTCAACCTAAAACCACTAATTTGCAACAGATAGGAATAGGATGTAGACATCCACAGCAACAAGATCAAGGATACCCATGCCAAAGTATTATGGCCTTGTTACACTATGCCAGTAGGATCCTGGCATGCTACCTTGTTGCATGCACAGAACACCCATGTTTCTACACCTGGGTGAGAGCTCTTCTATTGCAATCCAAAAATACCACTCTGCAGAACATTTTTTATGGAATATATCTTGTTTTTGCAACCCTAGGTTCACTTACATGAGACTGGAAGTACCCCAGAAAGAATTAGAATTGTAGAATCTAAGCAGTAAATATGGATGAATTGCGATAAAGAAATATGAACAATTTGTATCATAAGATAAAACCATAAACATAGTGCAGAAAAAAATTAATGTAGCAGAAGAATTTTATTTGAAGGAACCAAAATAAAGACAAAACAACTTTGCAAATTATTAAAAAAATAAAAAAAATCTACAAAATTATGGAATTAATGCAACAATAGCCAATGACATTAAGGTCAGACCAAGAAATTTTGATGTTTCCATTAGCAACCTATTATGTGATCCAAATTGATCATGAAGCCTAGGAAAATTCTAAGAACAAAAGCATTATGAGTTCTCAAAACTTGGAAATTAAGCTTCATTAAGAGAACACAACAAAAATCGTTGCTAGGAAATATTTGCTTGCAACATAAGCAAATTGGGGAGGCCAAATTCTAACTGAAGGATACCAACAAATTCCAGATTAGGAAAAAAAAAAAAAGATGATCAGCAAATAAAAGTTATGGAGGCTAATCTTTTTAATGCTCAAGCAACAATATCATCTTGCGCATGATAATCACACCATATCTTGAAGTTCATCTGGACAAGAGGTATCACTCGAATGACTGATTGACAAAGATTCTGCGCTTCTGTTGAATATGCTATCTGAAGCATCTGATTTGATGCTGGTGCCAAAATTGTTGGTATTTAAACCTTCAAAATGGGAAGTAGTCTCCCTCCAATTCTTTTCATGACTGCAAATAAATGTATCAATGAATACACTTATACGGCACATAGGGATCTTTTTGACTCAACTCAAAACAATCAAATGATCGTGAACCTGAACTTTGATATGGGGGTAGCGCACTGAATCTTGACCTGCACATATAACAAAAGGGAAGTTTATTGTTGCAATGCTTCCAGGACTCCATTAAATTTAATGGTTTAAACAATTAAATAAACATACAGAGGTGGGAAAAACTTATATCTCAAATATAGTTGTCCCTGTACAGAAAAAAGTAATAATGCAAACAAAAAATATGCACGTTCTGATTGTTGGTTAAGCCAATTCAAGAAATTGTACTAAAAAAAAGATGGTTAACAAGCTCACAAGCCTAGAACAATGCAGCACAACTAAAAGGCATAGCTAATGCTTCCTACCAATTCTATCACTCTATATAATTCTGATAGAAGACATTCATTCAGAACAACTTTTTTCCCTATTTTCCTGCAGTCATCTTTGAGAGTATTAATTCATATGCCATCATTTAGGCTCCATTTACTAAATCATAATAGTAACATATTTAAAACTACTCCAATAAAATAAGGGAACAAACTAAATTTACTCTTTTGAGTATGAAGTGTTGAAAACTTGAAATATCTTGGAAACATGAATGAGACACAGCTAAAGCTTAATTGAAGTAGCATTACCTGTAGTGTTGTTCCAGATTCACACTTCTTCAATGGCAACAAAAGAGAGCCAGAATCCTCTGAACTTAGATAATCTGCTAAATTCAGCACAATCTCTCCTAGAATAACAGACCTAGCTGAACCCTGCAATACAAGACCAATCTGAGAAGATGCCTAACTCTAGTAAATAAAGAATGGCATATGTTCATGTATAATTTAATGAAAATATTGATCAAAGCATAAAGACAAAGCTATATATAGAAGCATAACCCAATATTGGCCCACACCATGGAAAGAACAAACTTAATCTGAGATTCTTCAAGTTCTTTTGATGCATCATCTTGAGAAATCCATATAACTTCTGGCCCGGTCCATTGACAAGTTCCACCTCGCACTGTTGCTTTGCTTGATTTAGCAATTGTCTTTCCTGTTTCTACTGAGATAATAGAGAGTAAAAGCCTGTCCCATCCTTTAGGAACCTGCATGAAATTTGAAGAAATATATGGTAGTCTGATGCATCCTTCCGACATCATCATGAAATGGTAAAACAAATTTATGTATAAGAAAAAGCAAAAGTTGCATTGTAGCGTAAGTTAGTATAATGGAAAGTGTATAATATAGCAAACTTAAGATCAAATAAGTGCATAATAAGGATGATGAGGTTGTATTGTAGCTTCAATCAGGAACCTAAAGATTACCAGCGGAAAGCGTACACATTCCCAAAGTACTTTGAGGTGCATAAGCTGAAATATCAATAATTAATAGACGCAGTCAATTTGTAGAGAAGAAAATATGTGGAGTCTTACTAGGACTAACATCCAGTTCCCACACTATCATGGCAGAGGCAAAATAGTCCATTAGTAAATGTAGTGAGAACCGAGAAAGACTACTCTCCCTTTGTCACTTCATCACATTCTATAAACCCTTAGACAGATACTCTTGTAGACAAAACCAAAAATTGATCTCAAAATTTACTCCATCTGATGGGCCAAGAACGCCGCAACCTGCAAAATCCGCTGCCTAGGAAACCCTACAGCATTTTTTTCGAGCTCAGGGAAGTCGGCAAAATGAAATGCATCAGAAGGCAAATAAAGGATGACTTCCGACAAGCAAGAACGGAAGAAGACGAACACAAGGGAGAAGGGAGCAAGATGGAGGGTTGGAGGACCTGAAATGCTTGCAGATTGGAGAACCTGAACTCGACTTTATCCCCGGATCTATCGGACTTGTGCCTGTTCAACCTGAACATCTCGTCTCCGCTCGCTCCCCCTCTCCTACAGCTTTCTTGGTTTCCTCCGCCGACACCTCGATCGAATCAAGGGAGAAGAGAAGGGAATCTCGGTTCGTGCCTTCCTCACTCGCTCTCCTCCCTCGTGGGAGTCCGTAGCGCAGTGAGAGAGAGAGAGAGAGAGTTTAATTATTTTTCTTTTATTTCTCTTTTACTTTCAATCGGAAGTTTCTGATATATATATACAGGTAAAGTTGTCAACATCAATAACAGTATTCCTCATAGTGGCTTCACAGTTGAAGTGGGTGATGAATATTACATTAATAAAGGCACTAAATACGAATTAAATGATAAAACAATAAACCTGTCTTTACTGAACACAAACTGTTACTCGGAAAGAGCAATTAATTATTGTATTGTGTTGTATTTAGGGAGAGTTAAGCGGTTGAGAACTTCAATCTACCTTTAATATGTTTCTCTTCATCTTCATATACGTCCATCATAAATGTCATTCCCATTAGTAAGTAAGCATCTGATGAACTCCGAATTGATGAGCTAACAGATATTAAAATTTTAAAACCTAAAATACTTTTTTTTGTTGATGTCAATAATTATTTCATAATAATTTTATTTTTTTTGAAACTTTCAACTAAAATAGTGTCTATTTAAAATATACTAATGCTAATTGGAGTCATAACATCATTCTGGTGATGATTAAGCAACTTAGATCAACTACGACGATATATATATATATATATATATATATATATATATATATATATATATATATATATATATATATAT